AAGCACAAAACAATGTCATTTCTCATTTTCTAGTATGATAAGTCTACTGGTAGATCGAAGGACTATTGTGGGACCAAATTTCTAGGGCTTCCTTGAGTTTTTTGAGGTGTTCAGTAGTTTATCAGGAGGTACTAGATGTTTGAATAGCACATTTTATTAAAGGTTAAATAATTTTTTTAAATGAGTAATTTAAGACCAGTGTTCAGGGAGTTCATAATTTTTTAAGGTAAACCATGAAAATTATAAATACCTGTTTGGGGAATTGATTTCTTTAACCTCTCAATGAAAATTTCTTTGTCTATCTGTAAAATGCTTTGGTAAGAATGATTGAGATTGAGTACCATTTCTATAGAATGGTTACAATTTAAGAGGACATGTATCTCTAAAATATTAACAAAATGCAAAAATAAGACTTTGATGTAGTTCAGTAGATTTAAATAATCAGATTCATAAGACAAAAGTTCCTTGGGGCATGAAGTAGGGAGGCAGTGTTTGAAAAGATGCTAAATTTAATTTTCAAATAAACTAACATTCTATCAAATTCTTAATATCTCCCTGATTAGAATCATAGATTACTGATGGATGTAGCAAAAGGGTGACTTCTTTGTCATATGTCATAATATTATTTGCACTTGTCCTGCTGAAAGTTCTCATCAGTGACATGGATGAAGACAAATTAAATGACATGAAAACTTATCTTTGCAGAGTCATAGTAAATTTAAAGATTAAACGAATTTAAGTTTTAAAACATCTCATAGGTTGGAGTAACTAAACTCATAATGAGATAAAGTAGAACGCCTGTGTTTTGAAAAAGAAATTAAGTACCAAATGGGAGAAGAACCAGTATAGGGAGTGAAATGTTGCCACTAGTATTTTAACAATTACAAAGATCAGTAGAAATCTGTACTATGATACCTATTTTTAAAAAATGATGCCAAAGAAAATGGTAAGAATGGAAATAGAATCCAAGTCAGGGGACATGATCATTTCATTGTGCTTCACAGACTTGTAATCTGTGTTCTTCAAACTGTAGAATGCTACAACCTTTGTAATTAGCAAATATATCCACTGAGCAAATGGAGTAGAGGTAACATAAATGTTTTCTGAGGGAAGATTCTACAATAAATATGATTTGCTATCATACCTTCCTTTTTTGATTCCTGTTTGCCATGTTCACAGAAGTTTGGTCAATGCCCAACTATTTTAATTTATAAACTTTATAACAGATGTCAAGGTACATAGAACATCTGTAAGTTATTCAGCTTGGCTTTAGAGTTATAGAAGAATTGAACACATAGATGACTAGGAAGGAAAAGGACTAATTTGATAGAATCTAAGTTTATTCCAAAGTCAAATCCACCATCTTTTTGAACACTAAGCTTCTGCACTCCACTCCCCACTTCCTTTCTTCTGGAGAATAATAACAAAAACAGTAACAATAATAACACTACTTCACTTCATCATTCTCTGACAAAATTAACTGTACCCAAGATCAAGTCTTAGAATCATCTGTGCTTCTCTCTTCCTTCTACCTGCTCTCTCCAGCTACCACAAATTCCTTTGGTTTTACCTTTAGAATGTTTCTTCCCTTACTGCCACTCTTCTGCTTTACCCCAGCAATTTCTTGCTTGCAATACTCTCCTGATATCTCCATTTTGAGTCCCCTTACTGGCTGCAGTATTAAATCCAAATGTCCAAAAGAGGCCTATTATAATCTGGCCACATTCCTCCATTACAGCATGGTCTTTCATGACCTTCATGCATGTCTTATTTAAAACAGAAGAGCATTTTCTAGTGTCCTTCCCTCCTCTAGAATGCCCTTTCTCTACCCATTTTTTAAAAATTTTATCCATCTCTTTATTTCATTCTCCTGTCCTTTTCTAAAATTTCTACGTAATTCATTTATTTATATATATATACATCATTGTTCATTTTTGCAGTGTTTGCTTTCCTCTTAGATGTTAAAGATCAATCCAAAATCTCCACAAAACCTTTCCCAAACCTTCACAAGAAAACATTGTATTTTCCTGTTTTATAGCACTCAACATGCTCTTGTCTTGAATTTTAGTTCTTTCTTACCATTTTTCAAAACTATAATTTCCTTGATGCTAGGATTTGCCTTGTTATTTATAATTCCCAATGTGTGAACCAGCTATGTATACATAATGGAAAGTGTCTGAATAAACCAAAGTTTAAGATCAGCTCTATCAACTAACATGAAGCAAGATATTTTATTTTCTTTGACTCTTTTAAAAAGTAGGACATTCCACTTAACCTTGCAGATGTGAAAGGCTGAAGAATAACCTGTCATCTTGTTTGGCATACACTAGTCACTAAATAAATATTTATCTCTCTTCTTACCTAGTCCTATAGTACTCACTATGATACCTTGAAGGCAAAACCTGATAATGTGTAATAAAGCCCAGTGTTATGGAGAAGTTGAACTAAGTGATACAGAAATTAAAAAATAAAGGAGTAATTGGAAAACACAGCAGGAATTGATATGATTCAGGATTTGATAGAGTGAAAAATAGCTGAGATTTTGAGCTTAAGAATATGATGTTTAAGAGAGATGAAGAAAGCAAGAGCTATTGAGGATTTGGGTGGGTGAAGGAGTTAAAGGTAACCTCCACTTGCTTACCTCAGTGTCAGCTTAGAATGCTAACTTTTGAAAATGGGGAATGTGTTGTTAAGCCAGGAGAGAAGTCATTGCTTTATTTGAAGATACCTTGAGCTTCTAAATGTAGTAGTATTCAGTAAATTTTCAAAAAAAAACCTCCAAAAAAGAGAAAAACATCCAAAAAAATCCCACAACAGTAATAAAAACAAAAGTTTTGAATAAAAATACTGCTTCAAAAATTGAATTTAAGAAACGTTTTAGGAGAGATTGTTGTCACCCATTCTTTATTAAAGACATAATAAAAACAATGTTCCATCACCACAGTTGGTTTATACATTTTAATTCTGAATCAAAGGAAGCTCTAAAAGCCTATTTAGTTGACTTTTTTTTTTTATCTCTAAACTTTCGGGTCAACGTAATTAAATTGTATACTTTAAAACAAGTCAAAACTAATTTAGAGAGCTCTAAGAGTTCATCATATCCCTCCTAAAATGTTTCTTACTTACAATTTTTGAAACATTTTTATTCAAAACTTTTGTTTTTATTATTTTTGTGGGGTTTGTTTTTTTTATGTTTTTCTCTTTTTTGGAGATTTTTTTTTTGGCAAAAACTAAAATATACAAATATGTACAGAGAACAAATTTTAAGTGTTTTCCCATACTCCTTTCCAAGCCCCATTTCCCAAGTCCCATTAAATTTAGTGTTATCTTCTCGAATATATTCTATGGGTACTATTCTAACGCACAAGATCAAACATGAATCAATTCATGTCAAACATGAATCAATAATACTACCTAGTAACAAGTTCACTAATATTGGCAACCATTCTAATGAAACAATATTTACAGTAAAAATACACATGTCTAGTTCATGAAAGATGACTCCTCTGACCTCTTTTTCCCTCATTGGACATACTGCTCTGCCCAGATGATGGATAAACTTTCTTTTAATAGAATAATAGCCGGTAAAGTTTCTAACAAATAGATGAGGTTTCTAAGTGAGGATCAGATAGTTGTATAGTATGTGAGGTAGTTCAGGGAACTGCCTCATAAATTCTGGGTTTACTTCACTGTAGCTAATCAAGCTTTAGCCAAGGACATCTTGCTAAGGGCATTTGAAAGGCGTGTTCTTTTCCTAGTAAATATTATTAAGCTCTTTACTCAGTGATCCAAAGGTTACCTGCCTTCTTCCTCTTCCCCTTCTTCATTACAGTAAATATACATATCTGCATTTAATATGTGGTTGTGTATGTATGTTGAATGTTTTTATGCTAAAATGAGATTTTACAATCAATAATTCAATAAGTAAAGTGTGTTACATCTTGCTTTTTCCCCTTAATATGTCTTGGACATTTCTGCATACCAATACATGTGGTTCCGATTCATGCAATTAAATAGCTACGTAGAGAATACAATATTGATGTTCTGTGGTTAGCGTCAGATTTATAAACCAGCAAATATCTATAGAATAAATTTTAACAGCTTTAGATAGTAATATAGACTTTAAGTATATATATAGTAACATTGACATGTGGTACAGAACGCTTTCAGCAAAACTTCTACAAATTGAAGGTTGTACAACCCAGCCTCAAACCATTCTGTCGTGCCATTTTTCAACTGTAATGTGATCGCTTTGTGCCTCTGTGTTACAATTAAGTTATGTGCATTTTTTAGACATTGTGCTAGTCCAAACTCAACAGGTTATAGTATCACATAAACATGACTTTTACAGGCTCTGGAAAATAAAGCAAAAAACTTATTAGGACTTGCTGGCAATATTTGCTTTATTCAGTAATCTGAAACCTGCAATAAAGCCAAGGTATTGAATGTGTAAGTGTGTTTATAGCCTCAAGTGGTTTATCTGAGCTTTATTTAGTAACCTGTATTTGTGGTCATGTTTGTACAAACCTAGGAGGATGGTTACCTACCGCAGGTAAAGATGGTTTGTGGTTCCTCTGTAAATTTTAAGATGACATTCATTGTGTAGCTAGAATTAGTGACTACCTAAAAATAGACTGCATTTCTTGAGTTATTTTTCAATAAAGCACAAAAATGTCAAAGCCAGAGGTTTCTTAGCCAGCCTTACGGTACTACTGCCCCAGATAATTTCCATAAAGTTCAGATCACTGCCGGTGCTACACTAACTTCTTCAGAATGCTATTTTTAGGACAAATAACAATATATCACCACATTAAACACTAGAGGTTTACTAAACGTTTTCATGCTTAAATAACTATTGTAGTGAGCAAATAGCAAATAGCTCACCTTGTAAGCATCCAGAAAATTGATATTTGAGATAGTACATGAATAATCTAGTTGAAAACTTAAAATATTACCTTAAATGTTTAATATGATCTCCGTCTTACCTCCTTTATTCATAGATAACGTCAAATGAACTGAAATTTTCAACTCATACCTTTTATAGACGGTAAATGTGTTGTGCTGAATCCGAAGATTTCACACTATGAGGTAGGCTGAAAATAAAGAGCTAAATTCTAAATCATGGGATTATTTCTACTGAAACTGATACTTTGATTTTAAAGCAAATGAAATGCTATTCCTAAACTTTTAGTTCAAATTAGATAAATCAAAATTCATAAATGCTGTCTTCAATTCAAAAGGATGTATATTTGTGGTGACTTGTGTTTTAAAATAAAATACTTACTGCTTCAGGTAAAGTACATGCTCAAAAAGTTAGCTTTACTTTGAAGCTTCTAGGAAGCAAAATGAAAAAATTGAAGATAGATTTTTATGAATTTTCTGTAACTGATCTTTGTAAATGCCAGAATTCTAAACTTTGAATTAGTTCATCTTTATAACAAGATTGTGCTTAGTTTCAGATATAGAGGAGTAGATTATTGAACAGAAATAGAGTTTTGTAATCTCTGCATCATGTTTTAGCTCCTCAGCTCTTATACAGTCTCAGTATTTGGAGAAAGTGGATGCTAAAAAGTGGAAGCAGTTGATGGGTGAATATGTACAGATTTCTCCACCAAGTTCTCTGCCTGATAAGGGTAAGGTTCCACTCACCAGTTTTGTTCTCAGTGCTCTCTGTTCTCCAGGATTGTTTTCTTTCATCTTAGCATGTTTTGAAGTGTTCTTCTGTGGTACACCATGGATCAGTACATCATTGCTTTTTATTGTTGACAGGTTTCCTGTTGTGGAACATACCATGATAGACATTGAGTTGTTTCTTTTTTTTTTTTTTTGGCTTTTTGAATTGTACTTCTATCAACATTTACATGTTATGTGTAGTAGAATTTAGTTCTTTTGGGTATTTACTTAGGGATGAAATTGCTGGGTCATAGGGTAACTCAATGTTGTTTGACATTTTGAGGAACTACCAAACTACTTTCCAAAGTAACTGTACTTTTTCACATTTCCACAACGAAGTTTCCAGTTCTTCCACATATTTGCCAACACTTATCTTTTTGGCTATAACAGTTCCAGTGGTATGAAGTTATTGCAAATTTTTTCAAAGATTAAAATAGAGAATTTTCATTGTACATCATTTAATATCAATTATTTTTATAGATTCAACCTGATCAACATTTGAGTTTTTTCCTTTCTGGGGTTATTACCAAAAAAATTCCAAAAAACAAGAAAACCCTGCTGTGAACATTCATGCTTGTGTAAACATACGTTTCCTTTTCTCTTGGGTAAATATCCAGGAGTAGAGTGTGTGTTTAACTTCCTCACAAATTACCAAACTGTTTCCAGTGGTTGTAGCATGTTACATCCACCAGGGTGTATGAGAATTCCACCTCATGTTGCCAGTCTTTTTCATTGTAGTCATTCTAATGAATAGAATAGTGGTATCATTGTGATTTTCATTACCATTTACTTAATGTCTATGATAGCAAGCATCTTTTCATGTGTTGTTAGCCCTTCATATACTTTTCTGTTCAAATATTTTACCCAACAAGTGAACTACTTGTTCATTATTTTATGCTAATCATAATTTTTATAATTAATAGCTGAATTTTCTAAATCATCAAATTAGGCTTCATTTAGACTTTCTTTTTGATCTCAAATTTCCACAAGCTCATTAGTGACTCAGACTGCTATGTCAGGCATATTTGTTTTTGTTAAAGGGAAGAAGTGTTTAGTCCTGAATGAATTATGCTGCCTCCTAATTTTTACAGATAAAATATATATCACCCAAATTACCTAGGCATAATAGTAGTATATTTTCTGCTTTATTTGTATTTATGTAGGATTTGACTTGAGGAAAGACAGTGAGGAATAGTAATCTATATAACTCTAAAAAATCATCTATCTTGTAGTTTATATTTCTTCTAAAACTTTCTCTACATCCTTCCTACCCCTCTCAGCTTTCCTTCCATTTCCTCCCTTACCCTTTCCACCAGCACTTTAACAGAAAGAACAAGTCAAAAGACATTCTAGAATGTTTTTTCACCTATCAGAAGTAGCGGAATGAAGTTCAAGCCCTATATAAAAGGCACGGAACTCTGTTCTCTTTTTCCCCTGACACCCTGTAAAGCGAAGAGTAGTCTTAACTCATAACTGAAGTTCTAGTTTCCAGGAGTCCCAAAATATTTTTCAAACATCCTTCTATCATTAAGTCTTACAGTACTCTAGTTAGGTGAGTATGTATGTATGTTTGTTTTGTTTGAGTAAACTGAAGATTTTTAAAGATCAAGTTTCTTTTCTATGATCTGTTACTTTTCTTAAACAGAAATATATAAGAAAATACTTAGTCAGAACTTTGGAACTTACTGAACTTTCAGATCAGGTCACACAACATGGATGGGTGGCAGTTCTCCCCACCTCCCTCCAGGCCTTACATCTTCAGTCTCACAGCATAGTCCTCTATGTCAGCTCCTTTCTGTCCTCTTCATCCCACTTCTGAGAATTATTGTTACTTGTGAGTGACCTGGGAGATATTTGAGCACTCTGGTGCTCCTTTTTGGTATATAATAGCTTATATTTAACTATATGCTGTCGTAGGTTTTAATTTGCTTGGGCGGCAGCATTCTGTTTTATGAAGCTCTTTTCAAAAGTAAAGGAAATACACTTTGAGAGTAAAGCAACCTAGTAAAAAGAATTCTCTCATCTTCTCTACAGAGAATCCTTTATTTTCAACCTAATGAAGCATTCAATGAAGACATATCACTCTTTTCAAGACGAACTTGAAGATTATATCAAAGTACAGAAAGCCAGAGGCTTAGAGCCAAAGACTTGTTTCAGAAAAATGAGAGAGGACCTATTGGAAACCTGTAGATACAAAGAAGAGGTCGATTCCAGACCCAGGTATAGAATGTTTAATCAAAGACTCCCATCGGAAACCATCCAGACCTACCCAAGATCATGCTCTGTTTCCCAAAGGGTGGAAAACCGGCTACCACAGTGGCTGCCAGCTCATGACAGCAGCCTGAGACTAGGCTCCCTAAGCTACTGTCAGCTCACCAGGGACTGTTTTTCAGAAAAACCAGTACCCCTGCACCCGAGTCAGCCAGAGTATAACTGTAACTCCTATAGTATAGAGTCGGGAGTTCACAGGCACCTCTCCTCAGAAAGCAGTACCGTCGTCCAGCGAGCCAGTCATAAGCAGATGCACCACAAGAGAAAACGGCACCCAGAGGAAGGCAGAGAAAAACCAAAGGAGGAACGGCCCAGGCATAAGAGAAAAAAAACTTGTGCCGAAATAGGTTTAGACAAACACAAGAGCATCAAAGGAAACAAAACAGAGATGGAAGCAGGCGAGGTAGATACAGAAAAGCCTAAGGATAGAAAGGAGAAAAAAAGAGACGTTGCCTCTAAGAAAGAGGAGCGTAAGCGTAGAAAGGAAAAAAAGGAGCAAGGCAAAGAAAGGACAGAGGAGGAAATGCTTTGGGATCAGTCTATACTGGGATTTTGACTCACTCTAGCTGGTTCTCCCAAGGTTAAATTGAAAAAGTACTGAGGAGCTTGGGTTGATGACATTCGTGTTCATATCATTTTTCTCACGTGAGCAGGCACTTTAGACAGAGGCCAAGTGAACGGGAAGTAGATGTTCTCCAGCGTGGAAATTAATTTTCCTCATTTCTAAAAGCATTGTTGTAATTTTTCTTACATATAATGTAATTTCCCTTAATGAAAGTGGCTCTTTTATGCATCAGATTGCTATGCTGGTGGAAGTAGTTATCTCTTGGGAGGTCATTTATTTTAAATTGGAGGATTAATAGGCTTTGCAGACTCTATTTCTTGATTGGGTTTGTTTTAATTTAGGGGAGGCATTTTTTTATATTCATCAGTTTATGAAGCAGCTTAGGTTGGTTCCCCACCCCCACCCCCTTTGTTAAATCTAACTTGCAATGTATTTTCTAAAATGGAAAGTAGAAAATGAAATCCATTACAGTAATAATAAGCTTAGGTTACATATACTTTTAAAAGTTTGAAAGTTTATATTCTAGAAGTCATTTTCTGTTCTAAAATGTTTATAATAAAGTGTTCTAATTTCTACATTTTGTTGCCCGTGTCAATGCCCTGTGTTCCCCTTCAACAGTGATTTTTCTGCTGGAAGAGTGATAAGTGAGAAATCTGTCTTCATAGGCAAGCTCCCTTAAGTAGATCACACTTTACCATTGTAAAAATCTTTGCTTATTCTTATCTAAAGCCTCATTTTAGTCTCTCTCATAGGAGGAATGTAGAGGAACCAAATAAGGAATCAGAAAAAGGTAACTATCTTAAGTAAAAATCAGAATCATCAGGCAACTATAGACCAGAGACATTCTGAGGGGAGGAGGAGGGAGAAGGCCCAGGACAGGGTGGGAAGAGCACAAGGGACCACGGTGACAAAGCAGGGGTGAGCTGGTGGTGGGGTTTCCCGGGGAGCCCCACACTGTACAAAAATGAAGGATGGTGTAATGAATGTATTAAAAAAATTAAAAATAAATATAATTTAGAAAGTCCCTTGTTAGGGTAGAAATCTAAATAGCTACAAATTTTCCAAATAGTTGAAGAGAGGGATTTTT